TCCAGTCCTCCCGGGGAAGCCCCACCACCCGGCCTCAGAGGCTGGGGATCTGTGGTGAGCAGGTCAGGCCCCTGGGGTGGTGCTGAGCACAAGATGCCAGCAGAAGTTGCCGGCCCTCCACCCGTCAGCCTCCTTCAGAACTGAGGCTGGCCTCTCCAGCAGGGCCTCTGTGCCCCAGCTGGTCCCGAGTTCCCACCCTGCCTTTGGCGTCTGCACTGGGAAACTGTTGGGAGCCCCATGACACGGCCCCTCAGGGCTGGCATTCGGGTCACTGTCCCTGAGAGGAGAAGCCCATGGTTGGGACCCAGGGTTGATGTGTTTGGGAGCCCGGGAGCCTCGACTTGGCTGTGCAGTAGGCCTTTCAGCAGCCGAAGGACTGCCAGCTGGCCAGCTGTCTTCCAAGAGAGCTGGGGGGAAAGGGGGGGAAGGGAGGCCTTGATTCTCTGAAGACCCGACCTGAGGGCCGCGCTTTTCAAGGCTACCTGGGTATGGGAAGAGGTGTGGCCAGGGGTTTCTTGGGGACCAGGAACCCTCAAGGCCCCAGATGGGCGTGGTACTGGGGCCCATGAGGCATGGGGGAGGCAGAGGACTTGAGCCAGGTTACCTGGGCCACGGGCATCTGTGGAAACCTGTTCGCCTTTCCGAGTGCTCACGTTCCTCGGGAGCTGTCTGCTGCAGCCACTGGCCGTGCAGCCCTCTGGCTGGCCAGCCTGCCTGCCCTGTTGCCCCTGGGGTCCTCCCCACCTCCCAGACATTTGTGGTGGACGTACCTCTTCCTGACCAGCCCACTGTCCCCATCCCAGTCCTGACTGGTTGTCTGCCTAGGCTCCTGAGCAGGGACTGTCCGGTTGAGAGCAGCCGGTGGGGTTCAGGAGGTGCATCTGGAGTGGTTCTTCTGTGCGGCCCTCCCTGTGTCTGGGGTGGGCGTCCTGGAGCCAGAGCCTCTGCGGGGCTGGCTGTCCAGCATGGCCTGGCAGAGCCTAGCAGGTACCCTTCGCTCTGGCCTCAGTGCTGCCTGTGCGCCTGAGGAGGTCAGGTCCCAGGCAGGCCATGGACAGCTCGTTGGACACCTGATTCCTGGAGCCTGGCAGGCTTCCCCTACTGTGTGTGGTCACTGCTGGGCACTCCATCCTCCTGGTCGCTCCTAGGGTCCTCTGCCTGGACCCCAGGCACCCTGATCTTCCAGTGCTCCGAGAGGAGCCCTGTGAGTGCAGGGAGTCTGAAGGACCAGTCTCCTCATCATGCGGGGCTTGGCAGCCCTTGATTTTTGCTGTGCTTCTTCCTTACCCAGTAGCCTCCATAACAACCCAGGCTGACAGGCCGACGACACACCGCGTGAGCACCAGGCTCTGCTTCTGCCTTGAGGACACACGTGTCTTCGGTGTGGCTACCGCGGGCGTGCTTCTGTGGCTGCACACTTGCCCATGTCCATGGAGTGCTGCTAACTTTTCTGCAGACCACCACCCTGGCCTGTTAGCTGTCCAGGGTGCTGACTTGGGCCAGTCGCACTGGTGCTGCTTTTGTGGCCGCTGCACTGAGTCTGTTTTCGTGGCCGCTGCACTGATGTCTGCAGGGGCAGTTCAGGCTGCTGGCACGGAGGGTGTGGCTGCTTTCGTGGCAGGTTCCAGACATCCGTGCAGACATCGTGGATGTCTTGGCCTCTGGCCGGGCTGCCTGAGGGCTGGTCTCCAGTGTGTGGCTGGAAGGGACTGTGGCTTACTCCTGCTGGCCACGGCCTCCTTCATGTGATTTCACGGCAGACAGCATCCCTGCCCATTCCCCAACAGCATGGGTAGAGACTGGACACCGTTCTCCAGGATTCTGGCCTTCTTGAGGGCACGTCTGTGCCCTGGTGTTGCTGATGACCACGGGGCCACTGCACCGGCCGTGTGGGTGGGTGGTGATGGCGTCTCGGTGATCGGAGGCCAGCCAGTTGACTGCTCTGGAGCACTGGCCGCAGGCCCCCCCACCCGCTGACCAGGCAGGGTGCTGGCCGGAGTCCAGTGCCAGGCCAAGCTTCGTGCTCGGCAGTGGGTTTCCCGACCCTCCAGGAACCACAGACAGTAAGGGTGACCGTGTATGTACACCAGTGTGCACACCTGTTTGTAGACGTGAGCTGGGTCTGATGCTCCAGCCTGTTGATGCCCAGATACAGACTTGGGCCTGGCCTTCAGGCTCTCGTAGGTTTTCAGGAAGAGCTGACACTGCTTATTTTCAGGTCACTTCCTGTCTCCAGGAAGTCCTGCCACTTCCTGCTTACAGGCTACTTCCCTGTTTTCAGGAAGAGCTGGTCTGGTCACTTTGCTGTTTCCAGGAAGGACTCAAGTTCTGTCACTTCCTGTTCGTTTTCCGCTGCACCAGGTGTGTGGATATTTCCTCACTCTCCACCCCTGGCCTGGACTCGGCCTCAGTGAAGAACCTCGGTCCTCTGGATGGGAATGGGGCTGTGCGACAGCAGCTGCTGCACAGGGGCCTTGTGGGCCACTGCTCAGACCCACCCCAAGAAAGACTGCTGATTAGGGCAGGAAGTCCACCTCCAGATCTCATCCAGATTATCTCTGGCGTCTAAACAGGCTCTGTGTCTAATGAGGTGGTTTGTCACAGTCGACCTTCGGCAGGGAATTTAGCCACCTCCAGGGCAGCAGACACAGAGACCGGTGGCCCGGCCGTTTCGGGCGGGCCTGAGCCTGTGGGGCAGAGCAGCTGCAGGCCTTCCAGTCGGCCCGGCCTGCAGAGGGTTTCCAGCACTGCCCCGTCCCCCAAGGCGAGGAAAACCAGTGTGCAAATCGGTGCCAGCCATGGTGGAGGCGTGGTAGCCGTAGGCACACCCATGCTCTGGCAGGTCCTGACAGTGGTGCTCACGCTGTGCCCACCCTCCCAAGACAGCCTCGTGGCGAGTGCGGAGCAGGGCTGCCCTCGGCGTCCAGACACAGCCAGTCCAGCTCACTAGGACAGTGGGACACTGTCCCCCGGGCGTGTGCGAGCCCCTGTGAGCTGAGCCCTGTCCCCACACGCTGTCCCCCGGGCGTGTGCGAGCCCTCTGTGAGCTGAGCCCTGTCCCCACAGCATGTGCCCCGGGTGTGTGCAAGCCCTCTGTGAGCTGAGCCCTGTCCCCACACACTGTCCGGCGTGTGTGAGCCCTCTGTGAGCTGAGCCCTGTCCCCACAGCGTGTCCCCCGGGTGTGTGCGATCCCTCTGTGAGCTGAGCCCTGTCCCCACAGCGTGTGCCCCGGGTGTGTGTGAGCCTCTGTGAGCTGAGTCCTGTCCCCACACACTGTGTCCGGCGTGTGCGAGCCCTCTGTGAGCTGAGCCCTGTCCCCACAGCGTGTGCCCCGGGTGTGTGCAAGCCCTCTGTGAGCTGAGCCCTGTCCCCACACACTGTCCGGCATGTGTGAGCCCTCTGTGAGCTGAGCCCTGTCCCCACAGCGTGTCCCCCGGGTGTGTGCGATCCCTCTGTGAGCTGAGCACTGTCCCCACAGCGTGTGCCCCGGGTGTGTGTGAGCCTCTGTGAGCTGAGCCCTGTCCTCACAGTGTGTGCCCCGGGTGTGTGCGAACCTCTGTGAGCTGAGCCCTGTCCCCACAGCGTGTGCCCCGGGTGTGTGCGAGCCTCTGTGAGCTGAGCCCTGTCCCCACAGCGTGTGCCCCGGGTGTGTGCGAGCCCTCTGTGAGCTGAGCCCTGTCCCCACACGCTGTCCCCCGGGTGTGTGCAAGCCCTCTGTGAGCTGAGCCCTGTCCCCCGGGTGTGTGCAAGCCCTCTGTGAGCTGAGGATCTGGGTATCTTTGGGGCTCACACATCCCTGTCAGGACAGAGCCCGTGACATAAAACTTCCATACTTGAGAGAGGCACAGTTTAAAACCTGGGCATTGTTTGTTTCTGGGACTTTTGCATCATTGCTTAGAGCAGGGGAAAACAAAGACTGTCGTGTTTCTGAACATGGGGTGGGGGGTGGTCTCATGGAGTAAATGTCCAAGTGAACCCAGGATCAAATGTGGTCTGAAACTACCTCTAGAGAGGTGAGTCCAGCAGCCACAGACCCACCCGTGGGGGGGGGGCACGCACAGGGGCCGCCGGAGGAGGGGACAGCAGGCCCGGCCATGCCCAGCGCCAGCCTTGCCAGGCAGCTCCGGGGCTGTGTGAGCTCGTGAGCCAAGGCTGCGGTGCCCCATCGCATTAGCAGATTAAGTGAGAGCAGGCAGGCAGGAGAGGCGTTTGGTGAATTCTGGCTGCACTTGCCAGGAATCCAGAGAAAACACAGCTAAGTGAGGCACACAGGTGTGTTCTCACCTGTAAGGGTGCACACTGGTGGTGGCAGACCTCATGGCTGCTCTGGGAAGGATGTCAGAGCCACTGCAGGTGGTTGCTTCGGTGTACAAGGCCTCGTGTGGAGCGTGTGCGTGCATGCTGCAGCGTGGAGTGTGCTCGGGAAGGTCCCTCCGTGCGCAGGGCCAGCCCCCTCCGCCGGATCTTTCTGACCTGAGTCCGCAGCGGCGTGGAGCATGCTCGGGAAGGCCCCTCGGTGCGCAGGGCCAGCCCCCTCCACCGGGGCTTTCTGACCTGAGTCCACAGCAGCCCCTGTTTGGTGACCTCATCACTCCCAGGCCCCGCTGTCACCACTGGGCCTGCCTGGACCAGAAAGCCACGCTGACTCTCCTGCCTCTCTGGCCCAGGTCCGGTCCTGTAAGCTCCCTTCCTGTTTCCCTGCTGCCTCTCACATGACAGCCTGGGGTCGCACACAGTCTCGTGTCACACGAGCGATGACACTGCAGGGACAGAGGCCAGGCATGAGGACTTGGGTGCCAGGCTGCCAGCCGTGGTCGGAGCGCCCACTGCCCATACAGAGGAAGCGCCTCCGTGCTGTCCCCAGCCTGGCACCTCGGGCTCTGCCAGGAGGCAGGGGGTGGCAGGCACTGGCGGCGAGCAGGCCCCAGGCCGCCAGGTCCGGCAGGTTTGGCCCGCCCCCAGCAGCAGCTCCTCCAATGACACGCTCCTGTCTTCACAGGTGGCCGTCATGTCGCTCACCCTCTTCCCCATCCGCCTCCTGTTTGCTGCCTTCATGATGCTGCTGGCCTGGCCGCTGGCACTGGTGGCCTCGCTGGGGCCTCCCGACAAGGAGCCCGAGCAGCCCCCGGCCTTGTGGAGGAAGTAAGTCAGCGGGCGGCGCTGGGCGGCGCTGGGGATCCATGGGGCCTGCCCTTCCCCTCCTTACCTGTCTGTCCGGGACCCATGCCCACCTCCTGCTGGTCCTGTCCTGAGCATCATGCTCAAAGTTCTTTCTGTAGGCCACGGGGACTGTGTGGTAAGGTGTGTGCAGAGATGCAGCCTGGCCCATTCTCTAATGCTGTCCCTGTGTCTCCTGTCCGACCCCAGCCTGCGTGCAACCCCTTCATTTCCTCCACATTCTCCTCTTCTTCCTCGCCCATCAGTTGGTGTCTGTCTCTGTTGCCATTTTATTTGAAAATAACAGCCCTACAGAAAATGTGAGGATGTTCAGGAGAAATGTGCATGCCTGTGTGTGACCCTCAGCCCTAGAATTAGAGCATCAGGGCTTGGTCCCCAGATTATCCAACCACAGCAATTGTTTATCCTCCAAATAGCAAGGGTCTCCCGAGGCGGCTTCCGGGGGCCCTGGGTCCTCCCCAGCGTCCCCGTCCTCAGGGACGGCCGCGCAGCGAGGCTGGGCATGGCTTCGCTGAGCAGCAGTTCTGCACGAGGCTGTCGGCCAGGAGGCACGGTTCCTTTGGAGGCTGCTCAGTCCATGGCTCTCGCCTGTGAAACTCACTGTGTGGAGGGCTGAGCTGCAGGGGTGAGGGTACCACGTGTCAAAGGGTGGAAGGAAGGAGAAGATACAGGTTTGGATGCCTAAACTGCCACCTGACTAAACAGGCTGCCTAGGGAGCAAGTTAGTTGATCGGTACCGATTGCAGTTTTTGTCGTGTTTTTCTTGTTAGCCATCAGTTAGTTGTGCAAGGGGGTTTCGTGTTGAGTGTCCATGCTTGTGTGCAGAACGCTTTGACAGGCTCCCCACCCCCTGCCGCTCCC